TCGGCGAAGTCACGGATTATGGACCCATAACCCGTGTCATCCATATCCGGGTATAAAACGATCCCTCTTACATTACCCTCTTTCATCAATTTCAGAGCTTTTCTCTATGTCAGATTTACTTGGTCTTTATCCATTGATCCTTCTAGCCAGACGCCTCCATCTTCATCCGCTATAATGTGTTCAACTAATATCTTTATTCCACTTCTGTACAACTGGGCGCTAGTCGTCTCTGTCCCCATTCGCATTTCCATGCCCACCTACCAAAAGCTAGCTCTTGCGGCTGCTACCCTTTCGCTGTTTTGATACTCCGATTTATATGGAATATAGAATAGTAAATGTGACATTGTATTTTTTTCCATCGTGTAACGTTTTATTCTTCACGCTTTTTGGAAGAGCTCTACCCAGCCAGTAAACCATTCTGATCTTTTCTTTTGCTGCAATAGCTGAAGTTGTTAACAATTCTTCATCAGTGTAAATGTTGGCATCAAAATCTCCTCTTAGTGACCTTAACCTCCTCAGAATACTGCCCGTCATGGATGAGTGGATAGACGCTCTTATGAATCTTAGCCACACTTGACAAATACCAAGTTCGTGACTGCCCCTTTCCATGGTCTGGAATCCTTTTGGTAAGTAATACCTTATTCTTCGACCTTGGTGATTTCTTTCGTATTCGTTACGTCCCGCTTCTGAGCTTGCGACTTCTATGGTGACCGTTGTCCCTACTTCCGGTATACCCCTCAAGTGAAATCTTTCTGCGTACAACCTCTCCTCTCCTTCCAGAATTTCTGCCATTACTGCTACTGAAAGGGCGGAAAACTTGAACTAACTTATTTCAGAACAATACAATGAATTTAATTAACAAAAACGAAATTTTTAACACACAGTCGAGAGGGCGATACTCGAGGATTTTTATCCACACAAGACGTTACGCTCAGCCGCGTTTTCTGGAACAATTTACAACCTTAAGTCGCTGGTTCAAATTCGGCTGGTTGGACCAGTAAAATTTTGTCGGTAGCCTAATATTCTTGACCCTGACTGGATCAAGAAAGTTACAGTCTGGACAATAGATGAATCGTTTCGTCTTATATATCCTAAAGTCTGAGTTGACAATTTTGAGTTAGTCCAGTGGAGTGGATGTGGACTTATTTTGATTGCGCTGGTTTCGACTCTGCTATTATTGCTAATATCATTTTTACTTCAGAAGTCAGACTCCACTCAATGAAAGAGGATTTCATGTTTATGCTTATGACATTTGCCATTATTCGGTTCAGCGACCATCAACTCGTACCTTCATCAAGGAACTTAGAGACCTTCAATGCAAGTCAAGGAATACGAGATCATAAAACGAGGTGAGCCATTTCAAATACTAACAATGGTTAGCTACGTTAAAACTAATCCCGACATTGTCTCAATCAGCGGAGAAGGACTCGAAGGCGAAGCAAGGATATACGAAGATCGTATAAGGCTAAGCGGTGGTAGAGGCAGAGATAGTGAGACTTGAAATGGGAAGAATGGAATTCGAGGCGATACTTCAAAATTGTGCAATGAGATACTACCTCCCAAAACAGCTTAAGGACACAGAACCAGGCGAACACGAGCCTGGGCTGCCCCGCCTTTGTGTTGGAAACTCATATGGACGTAGGCCAAACTAGGGTCGTCACGAGAGCTGTACCAGCCTTTATAAATCATAAAGACCCAAGAGGAGTTACAGTTTATCCAGACATGGAAAACACTGGCTATTAGTCAGTAATAAGGAATTTTTCTGCAGGAAAGATAACGGAAGCCCTCAGGGATCAAGGTCACAATGAGAGGTAAGATGTATTGGAAAGAGTGATGGCACTGAAAGAAAGCTTGATAGAGGAATAGGACCTCGAAGCGTTAGGTTCAGAAGAAGAAAAGTTTTTGGAAGTTAAGATAAGCATTTAGGGTAATCAAGTAAAGATGACGCCGGAGCAGGCTAGAGTGATAAGGACGTTAGATTATCCAGCGATTTAAGTCCTAGCGGCACAAGCCCCAGCAGGCAGCGGGAAAAC